TTTATATAAATTTTTTATACAATAAATAAAAATAATAACAATAATAATAACTGAAATATTCAACCACTTGACATATTTATAAATTGAAAAAAAACAATTATTTTCTACTAATTGGGAAACTCAATCCAAAAGTATTTTGTACTGGTTTGTTTTTTAGAGGCCGCTAAAATTTAGTGGAGAAGAGGAGGGAAATATGGATCAGCCACACCCATCACATTTGTGCGAGAAATGCAAGAAGCAAGGAAATTGCAGAGGCGGTTATGGTGGCAGACGATACTAACCAATAAAACTGCAACAAGAGTGAATAATAACCAACCACAATGCAAGAGAACCAACTTCAATGAACATTAAGATGTATTTTATCATTATATGAGAATATCATAACTCAATTAGCATCATATGAAGATTATTATCCAGACATTATAATATAATTTGATATTATTTGACTTTTTTAAGAATGAAAATTTAATATGCTGTGAATCTAAATAATGTTTAGCAATATTTTATACTTGCTATAATAGACCTATGATTATTTAGTAAGTTTGATGCATGTTAGCAATATTTGTAAAGGGGAAGGGTGTGTCTAGACGACCACTCTAAAAGTGAGGGTGTGTCCAGACGACCACTCTAAAAGTCAACAAAAGATAGACTCTCTTCACAATTCTTTAATGCACATCTTGTAGTGGACCAGAAAATCCTGTTGTCCATACCCAAGTACTGTCTAATTATTGAAATCAACAGAAAAATGACCAAATTCTCACATCCTACATATTATTAGTTCAAATGTTTCATTATTGTTACTGATTATACCAAATGCTAATACTTTAGAATTTATAGCAGATTCATTGCTGATTGTAAAAAAGGTTGTTACAGGTGCAATCAAGGTTTAAGTGTAATTTTTTTTTTTTTTTTTAACCTTGATTGATTATTCTTCATTTAATTATGCTACACAACAACAGTGGTGTATTTACATGGGGTCTGGTTGTAGGGGCACAAAGAGAAAGTGAGAGGGTGATTGGTTTTCATTGGGATGCCAAAGGGTGGGGGAAGCTTTTGGACAGAAAGGATCATGTACCCCCACAATCTATTAGATATACTGATGCAGTGGAAGGATAATTATATGATTATAATATTTATAAAGTATTTTGTGAATAGACAAAGTGACTAAAATATGCTTATAATATGCAATTTAAAGGTAAACATATATGTGTATATATATCTTGAGAGAATAGAATAAATTATTTAAGCTAGTAAAATTAGTTCTTGATTATTTCATTTATGTTATTTATTTAACAACACATGCACCAAGGATTGTCAATAGTCAACATATCAACGTCCTACTTGTAGGTTAATCCCTGTAAACAAGTCAACACACACACACAATGCTTTTACACAAACCCTGCTTAATAATTGCTTAATAAATAAATCTTAATATGAGGTTTAGTGAGTGGATTAAACTAAATATTAAATCCAAAAGGTTTGCCTGTATTCCAATTTACTTTGTGTATTTATAAACACATTAACGAACAACATGAAAAAAAAACCTTATTAGGCGATGCTTAATGAAACAAATGCTAAATCTGGGAAATTCCAGCATGAAATCACGTCATTAACATACATGCACATATATACTATGGTAAATTAGTTAGGTGCTTATGATATTATTTATCATCATGTTAATGAAGCATAGACATTTCTTCCCGACATCATCAAACCATACTATGTAGCAATGACTGATTATTACTGAAGGGAACATTATCTTATCAAACATATTGTTTGTGTGCAGCATTTGAATGCTAGCAGCAAGCCTGTCAAGTGAATGGGAGATTCCAAAACATACTGGGTTTTTCCCACTTGAGCTATATATTTGTAATAATGTTGTGGCAACAGTGACATAGGTGAGGAGCTTATACAGCTGAAAAGAACCAACCAAGGAAATATGTCTAAGGTATGCATAGCTATAGGAAGAATCACTTAGGCATTCACATATAGAGAATAGTTAAACTTCAACTTTACAATTAACTTGCATTGTAGATGTTAACTGTTAACTGATCCATTATCCTAAGTATGTAGCCTATAAATTATAATTAATGGCTATCATGATGGCTCCAGAAATTTACCTACAGGGGATCTGAACCCAAGGGGCTACCTAGAGCCACAGTTAGAGTCCAGGAATAAAATCCCTGGTGGGGATTATAGGGAAAGTTTTTATGGTTTAGGTGGCAATCACTAAAACTTTTGGATTGGCAAATTAATATTTTCAGTCTGATGACCTAGGCGTGGCATTTCACAATGGGGTTCCATTCTTGGCCGACGGGATTTTTCCCCCCAGACACCTACTAGCCCTGCCACTGATAAATGTACTACTGTATATATGTACATTAATGTTAGGCTATCTACCTACAATATTTGAATTGTTTAATTTGTACATAGGTTATTATGGTAGGGTATCATTTAATAATAACATTAGGAAATGCGCCCTCTAAGGTGTATAAAGTGACATAATTCATCTTATAAGTGGCGGGTCATGTACTTGCTGATGGATGTGAAAGAAATAAAAATATTTTGGCAAAAGACAAAAAAATACAGAATCCAATAATAATATACAAACATCAATCATAAAAAAAATGTAAATAGTTATAACAATGATTTTCTTATTAGCGCATCGGCAAGGGGTTAACTCCATACCAAGGCACAAACCGTGTGTTTGGTGAATTTGAGTGTCCTGACTGCGGTCGTACATGGATGAGCGGCAACAGTTGGGCCGACTGTGGCCAGGAATGTCAGACTTGCAAGATTAATGTCTACCCCCATTCCCAGGTAAGTTTAAACTATTATCAAGTTTATCAGTGAAAAATCAATTGGGTGATTTTTTAATATTCAAAAATTGGGGGAAAAGGGGGCATAACCACCATTTTTTCCACCTTCTTTCCCTAGATGTTAAATATTCAATCTCATTAACCGTTTGTCATCAAACAGCTTTTTTCTGTCTTAGAAAAGTCAGATCTACAACATATCAAATTTTTTTTTCCACTGGAGCCTGACTTTAACGTGCACATGGACCACAATGCTCAGGGGACCAACGACTTTAAGGTCTCGTCTGAAAGACGGTGCGCTATTGCAACTTGCATTTCAGCCCTCCAGCTGAAATACAAGGAGAGCAGCGATGGGAATTGAACCGGGAACCAAGAGATCTCCACAGTTCAGCGCACACACAGTGCCTACTAGCAGTTTAGCCAACTGAGCTAAGCTGCACATTAAAGCTCCACCCCCACCCCTCCACCCCAATGTCTAAAGTACTACATGCATAGTTGGCATTGATTTAAAATGATTATAGAATACTTTTGAGAATTGAGTATTTGTAATCAGAGGAGGTGCCAGCGAGAACATGGAGGCAGGAAAATTTCCAAATCAGACAGACCAACCCCTCATTGTCGTAAGTGTCAAGAAAATTCTGTTTGTGATTTAGGCCACAGTATGTCACACATTAAATAATAATGAAAAAATGTGGTTGTATTAGTCTGAACTGGGACCCCTGAACAAAACAACTATAATTGCAATTAGGGACTGGCACCCAAATTTAAAATATTTCGCTCTGGTTTATTTTCTCTAGAGGGCGCTGAAGTTCAGTAGTGATGAGGGGAACCTAAGTGCACCACACCCAGAACACTTGTGTGAGAAGTGCAAGAAGCTTGGACGTTGCTGCAGAGGTAATGCTAGACGTTTCTAGCCAAGCAAAATGCAACAAGTGTGGATACTGGCACATCACACATTACAGCACTTAAATAGCGCTATTTCATGAAGATCAGAGCGGGGTTTTTGTTGTATATTTATTAATAAACAGTAGCTATGAAATACTTCACCAAAAAGACAACCGGAATAATCAGAAACAAAAATAAAACAATGCAGACGAAACAAACACCACCACACCGTTCCCCACCAACTTAAAGTGCAAGGCCCGCCAGGACAGTATTCACAGTTGCATGAGTGACGCTGGTATCTAGACCTGGTCATAAATGCTAGAACCAGCATCTAAATTACTAATAATCATTAATGTTTGTATTTTATCATTACATGTCAACATTCAATTAGTGTCACAATAACATTAATATTCAGAACGTTTTGCAAGTTACCATTTTACTTGAATGAAAATGTAAAAGGTGTTTTTGTAAAAAAATTAGTACAATTACTAATATGAAATCACCTCATCTTTGATTTTGTTCTTTGAATACAAAAATTATGTTTTTCACACTGCAGACAATCCTGCCTAGGTCGTGAGTGTGTGTCATGACGTTTGATACTAAAATTATGTACAGTGAATTATTATTAGTATATTAATTAAAATACTATTAAAATATTATTATTATTATTATTATTATTACTATTACTATTATTACTGTAGTTTTGATATATATATATACTGTCTCTTATACACATGTGTATAAGAGACAGTATATATATATATATATATATATATATATATATATATATATATCTCTGTGTGTGTGTGGGGGTGGGGTGGGATGAGCATGCATGTGTGTGTGTATGTATATTTGAATTTGAATTTACAGTAGACACGATTACGACACGAAAATGACATATCATCGCATAGTTTGTATTCTTCAACACTACGCGCATATGTATCGTGTTGTTGTTGTGTCGTAATCATGTCTAGTCTAAGTGTAGCTTTAGGCTCCACTGCTCTTTCTCTGACAAAAGAAGTCAAAATTATGGAAAACAAGCGTGGAGAAAAAGATCCGAACTTAAGCATTTACAAACCTTGTCATAGATTAAGTTTGTGATTTGCTGATTAATTTTTAATCAATCAATCTTGTTTACCATACATTATTGTTGGAGGTACAGCTGGCTATTCGAAACTTATGAGAGGGGATGCAATGGTTTTTCATCTCATTAACAATTTATGCTGATTTAGTTGATTAAAATACATAACCTAAATGTATGTACTTCAGTGTACTTTGTGTGTATGGCTATTACTGGGAACTGTCTGATTTGTTGATGTTGGGTGACTACATTTGGGAAATCCCAGTGCATTATATCATCAGCAACATTTGTTTGTACACACTCAATATTAAAGTCCTAAATGTATAATTTGCATTATTATTCATAACAATTTATATACAAAATGACATTCTTTCATACAACAGCATGCCACAGAATGTTGAAAAATTATTGATGATAAAAGGTTATCAAACATGCTTAACAACATTCAAATGTTAGGGTCAAGTATTTAGAGGATGCAGCTTGACTCAGTTGAGTCATATGAATGGGAAATTCCACAACATAATACTGTAGCTTGTTTTTGAGCTACATAGCATTACATCTACAACATACACATATACATACAGTAGCGGTATACAACATTATGCAACCGATGATACAGAATCAAGAAAGAAGATGTCTCCTCAGGTACGTACAACATAAGATGGATCAACAACAATGCAAAGATTTTATATAAAAGTTGCTTACTAATGTAATGTAAACTATATTTAGTATAAAGTAAATGTACTACTATATAATACAAGATAAAGTTTGGTTAACAAAAGGTGAACTTTAATGACAACAATGTATATAGGGAAGGAGTTCACCTAACTTTAGAGTTCTGTCAACAGCAGTGGACCCTTAAGTATGTACAATCAGTCAAAAAAGACAGGAAAATACTTCAAAAATTAAAAATAAAATTTTGAATAGCTCATTTGAAAGGATGAAATAAATTATTAATTCCGAAGAGAAGCACATCACAAAAAAATATAAATTTTGCTACAAAAATCCTTAAATTGATTATTGTCAATTTAAGGATTTATGCAAAAGTATACTGGAAAAATTGATGGGAGAAATTTGTTTAATTCGGAGTTTTAAATTTAATTTAATAACTTAAATATACAAATTAAGCAATTCATATGTGTAATTACAATTTTAATTTTTAAGGAAGTGATTCTTAATTTGAGAATACTGTACAAAGCATTTTATTGACCTGCTAAATGTATAAATAAATTATGATGTTTGATTGGTTGATTAGCGCAAAGGATTAACTCCATACCAAGGCTCAAAGCGTTCGTTTGGTGAATTTCGTTGCCCAAAATGCAAACGTTCGTGGATGAGCGGCAACAGTTGGGCTGACTGTGGCCAGGAATGTATGGTTTGCAGGATCAATGTTTATCCTTACACTCAGGTGAGTATGTTTCATCATTAAAACACATTTAAAACATAGCTGAGCAATCCGTCATAAATGAAAAATTTGCAACACACCAATTGTTTTCTTCACTAATTATAGATAGTGGTACACCCTTAAGTACATTGAAAGGCATGCAGGAAGCAGTGGTGGATTTGCAGGAAGGCTGAAAAATTCTATTGGGGTTGGGAAGAATCCCCAGAGGACTGGTTGATAAAGAAAACAGAAAATATGTATATTCTTCTAAGCAGCTGAGATGTGACAGGAACATATTAGTTCAATGCAGGGGTGGCGCCAGGATTGGCCCGACTGGGGGGGTCGATGCCCCCGAGGAGGTGGCAAATTTCCTTGATGACAGCAAAGTGGGCGTGGTCAAGCATCACTTAAAATGTACTGAAAAGTGGTCCAGTTGGCGAAGCTCCCAAAAATTTTGACAATTTAAAGGGTTTCAAAGGCTTATTTTATCGATTTTAGAGTCTATTAATACGTAGAAAATGCATTTTTTTTTCTCCCAGAAGAATTGGGGTTTTTCTCCCTGACAGTGGGAGGGGCCAGCTCTCTCCTACAGGGGGTCCTGCCACCCCTCTATGGCGCCACCCCTGGTTCAATGTACTCCCTAACATACAGCACCTCTCAGCCTAATGATTGTAAAACTCATTATAATAATAATAATGATGATGATGATGACCACAGCAGCAACGACAATGGCAGTGGCGGTTGCGGCAGCGATTTACATAAAATTTTATCCTTAATCTGATTTAGATTGCACAAATATAGATTTTTTTTATTTTATATAGAGGCCACTAGAGTATGATGAAGATGAGGAGGAGGAAGAAGAGGAGGGGGAATGGGAATGGGAAGAAGAGAAGCCACACCTACAAAAATTGTGTGAGAAGTGCAAGATACTTGGACACTGCTGCAAGCCACCTGGAGACAGGCGTCGACGCCGGCGTAGAGGCCGGGGTAGAGGTCGGGGTAGAGGTCGGGGTAGAGGCCGGGGTAGAGGTAAATGAGTGAATAATAGCAAATAAAAAACAATTTTGATAAATGCTTTATACTGTATAAATGTGAAGAAAAATTTAAGATTTTTTACTCAGAGATGTCAATTTTATAAACTATTTTCCTGAAATATCTTACATTTTTAATATTTTTAAACACAAAGATATATAAATAGTAAGTTATCAAATTAATAACAGATTGGTTGTTAAGTAAACTACAGATATAAAGTTTGTTTGTATTCAAATTTGTTTTGTGTATATACTGTAGCTATCTCACCCAGGAAGTAGTTTTCGATCAAGTGATTCCCTTAGTAGAAGCAGTTGGTGCATCGGTTGTGGCTTGGACTCCCAACCTCGAGGTCGGGGGTTCGAAACTCTCGCTGTGCAAATCTCGCTGGGCCTCTCTCCACCCAGGAGTACAAGTGGGTACCTGGTAGGTTCCAACACAACTGCGCTGATTACTAGCCGCAATATTATGGAATAATAATATAATTTAACTTAATAATTTAATTTGGTGTTCAATGTGTTCCATATGTGTTTGATCTAATGACCGGGGTAGTAATGTGAAGCGCTTAGAGGCTTTGTTAAGGCATTAAGCGCTATATAAGAACGACATATTATTTATTATTATTATTTTAATAAAAAGAGATGACATTTACTTTTACAATCTAAGTTTATAAAAAAGAAAAATTATTGCACAAACTGGTATGGTATGCATAGATAGCAAAAACGGTTAATATGTCAATTATAGCCTTCAATTTTAAAGTTTGTCGTACAACCTGAAGAAGTATTCTTCCAAAGAATCTTATTTCAAAAATAGATAAACACAATATAATAGTATAAAGAAGTTAAAACTTATATAAATACTAAGCTAAAGTAATTTAATTACATAAATGATAAAAATGATATAAAAAAGGCTATAATATGATTTTAATACAAACTATCACTTGTTGCACTACCAATGGAGGTGTTAAAAGTTGTACTGACCACACCCAATGATTCCATCATTGTGTCACCACAAGTGATAGTGCAGTCGTTACAAAAAAAAATAAACCATAACAAATTACAAGCTTTCTGGTATATACATATAGGCCTCAATTGTAGTTCAATATTGTCATTGTCTGCGGCTCTGTTTATGCAAAGGAAAAAGGTGATTTGAAAATTGATTAGAGAAATAGTGAGCTTTGTACTTATTGTTGACGGTTGCTTTGCATGTTTCACTGGATTTATTCTAAATGGGACACAATTAGTAATAGTTGAGTGATTTTTAACAGACCCTTGTGCCAAATCATTTACAAGCTTCGGCAGATTGAACGGTATTGTCAACTAATTATGGGTTCATCAATTTGAGTCATTCAAATGTGTCAAAAGGGTTGTCAAGTGGAATTTGTTTACTCGTCACAATTTGTTGGGACAATGCAAACAAGTGATTTGATGTATTTGAACTTCTCCGGTGGAGATATAAGAAATCAAATCTAACATTTTGTTATTACTCATTTAACACTCAAATTGCTAACTTCATTGTAATTTGATTTATCTATATTTCATTTGGCAGACCTAACAAGCTGACATAAATATATAAAGTTTTAAAAATGTATTTATGTATACTACAAGACATGCTAATGTTTTCTTTGAAATATAAACACTATCTACTTACAGGTAGGTTAGTCCCATCACTGATAGTAAAGTCAACTTGAAAAAACAAATCAGTCTGTAATAAAAACAATTAAATAATTATATTCAAACTATTTAGCATGAAATGAAAACATAGAAATTATTATTTATTCAAATACAACAGGTTAAACAGGGTACATGTATGATCTGTGTGAATAAAAAACAATAAACAATATCTATACTTAAGGTTATGATGCTTGCCTTGAAATTCAAGGTTCTAGGTTCAAGCATATTAAAAACCACTACTAGCAAGCCCTTGTGCCTTAACTTTAGTGTACCGTGGATGATTTTAAACATTTCGATTAAGTCGTCTCTACTACATATTTCTTTGAGTGTTGGTAGGTAAAGTTTAGCTAACCGATCTTCGGCTGAGAAGTCTATCTGCCTACAGCATGCTACTCAGCTAATGTCCAGCAGATAGGCCCATTGGGATTCCAATCAACCTGTGACAACCATCTAACATTCATGGATGTTTAATGTTGCCTTTTCTCCACAAAAAATTATAATTGTTTTCAAGTAAATAAAAATTAGGTCCATCAGGGAGAATTTTGGGTAAATGAAAATGAGGGGAAAATGGTTTATTTTTTCAAATAAAGTATTTCAAAATTTAAACTATGATGTGATGATTAACATTAATTATGTATATTTCCTATATATTTAAAAAGTAAATTATGATTATTTGTCCAATTCTTACCTCGGCATCTAGTTGCTGACGGATTCTAACTTCACCATCTACTGGCCCTACAGACAGATAGTTGGGTTCAGGTTGATCAATTCCGTAGATGACCGTTGCCCCCTCCGGGTCACTACCAGAAAGAGTTAATATCAGACTCCCTACATGAATTTAGAAGTAAAAGATAAAAAGTAAAAAATGCATTCAAAACAGATAAATATGAGTAAAATAATCTGAAATTAACTTTCTTTTTAATTACATTTTGGTCTTGCAAATTGTATCTTTACTGAACTTTTCTCTTCATGCTGAATATAATTAGCTTTTGTATTTTTCAGATTTATATTGTTTAAGTCAGCATTACTATTTGGGTCACCCTCATTAAATAAAGTTGAATAAAAAATAAAAATTAAATAAATAAAAGTGTAAAACATAGTTTTAAATTAATATGTTCTTAATCTTTGTGGCCTTGTTCACTATATCATACTCAAGATAGTGCCAACCAAAATTAACGTTCCCCACCTATTATTTGGTTTCATCCCCAGACCTACTTGACAACAAATGCTACCTCAGTTTAATTTTTCTTTACAAGGTTTTAGTTGGAGTGAACTCTTACTAACCAAGGCCTTGTTAGAGTCAAGTAAGCAAGTAGATACACAGTGACAATTATAGAGGGCACTAATTTTAGCTGTGGACGTTGATAGAGGATGCAATTTTAGACTGTTACTTAATTTGACTTTAAAAACTTACCAACAGTTGCACTTTCAGATATACGAATAACACTGGGTGGAATACTGTCAAGTCGCGGAGCATTATCTGTTGGTGACTCATCTATTGCACAAAAAATACAAACAATAGTTAATCAATGTGAAAATAAAATTACATCCAATAATAACAACAAATGATGATGCTACTGATAATGAAAAAATTATTATTATGATGATGATGATGAGAGTGATAATGATGATTTATGATGATAATAATGAGAGTGATGATGATTATGATGATAATATTGATGACAATGATGATGATTATTATTACACTATTTTAAAACCATGCCATACATTTATGTACATGAGGCCATTATACAATTAATTTTAAAATATTGCTTATTTTGAGTAAAGCATAATTGATTGCTTATAGCGAAGTACTAAAAGTCAATTGAAGGATAAGTAAAATAATATTGAGTACACTTTCATGCCTCTTCAAAGAATAGTGATCTTGAAATTTCTAGGCGAAACTAATTACAGTAACAGATCATAATTAATACAAATGTTACTATGCAAGTTATTCATTAGGTAAACATCCAACCAACATTCACAGCTGTCAGCAGCCAAAGATAGGTTGGTAAAAAGAATTGCATCCCTGCCATAAATTTCGCTCACACCATGAACTAACACAATCTTAGTAGTTTGCGCTAGTTTATGAAAATGACAAATGCATTCAAGTATGCACTGTTGTTGTTACAGATTCTCTGTGCAGTAAATACAAAAGTGCTTGAAGAATATGTACAATGAAAAATTATATTTGTGATTTCACAAAGTAATACAAACCACTTTGTGTTAGTTTGCAGTGTCACCATTTCATACAGGCCAAGATCAATTCTTTTTACTCAATAAATATATATAATATTGCAAATATACTGTAAAAGATATTAGTTAGCAACATGCAACTCATATTTAATAGACAATTCCTAATAAAGAACAACTTTAATGACACATTACATTTCCATTTTATTTTTCAAATACAATTTTCCCGGACTGTAGAAGCACTGGTCTTGGAAATTGGTATAAAAGAAATAAATAATAAAACTTGGATCTTAAAAAAATGTAAACTTATTAAAATGAAAAGGGAGGGTTGCTACCATCAGAACATCATGGCTTATTCAGGGACATGCACATAATTACTACAGTACTGAAAGTGCCTACAATATAAAAAAAGATAAAATAATAAAATAATAATAATAATTTTATTATGTATCATTATAATAACAATGATACCATAATTTAGGCCCAATTCACTATATAATAACTCTATCGATTGTGAAAATTTGTGGAATTATAATATGTCATTAACACTTCTACTCATTAATTGCTACATTTTCATTCAACATAAGATAGTCACATAACCCCATAGCATATGCAATATATACAATTAGTCAAATTTTCATAACCTAGACAACATCACTCCTTTTGTAATCTCCATACCAACTTCTCACTTAATCTAAACTTTTAACCATTTTTTTAAATAAATAAATTTATAGTGTTGTATTTTCTTCATAAAAAGTCAGAAGAGGTTTTAAGGAAGATAAAGGAATTCAGACAAACTTATGACAAAAGATGAAATAATAAGAGAAGAATGATATGAGAAAGTTGGATGTAGTTAGGAATGCTCAATGAGCACACCAGAAGACAGGAGAGTTTGAGACAGATACTCATTTGCACACCAGAGGACAAGAAAGTTTGAGGCAGATGTTCATGAGCACAACAGAGGATAAGCTGAGAGTTTGAGTTAAATGCTCATGAGCACACCAGAAGACAAGGGAATTTGAGTCAGACACTCATGAGCACACCAGAAGACAAGAGAGTTTGAGTCAGACACTCATGAGCACACCAGAAGACAAGAGATCAGACACTCATGAGCACACCAGAAGACAAGAGAGTTTGAGTCAGACACTCATGAGCACACCAGAAGACAAGAGAGTTTGAGTCAGACACTCATGAGCACACCAGAAGACAAGAGAGTTTGAGTCAGATGCTCATGAGCACACCAGAAGAAAGGAGAGTTTGAGTCAGACGCTCATGAGCATATCATCAGAAGACAAGAAAATTAAGTCAGACAAGTGTAAACAAAACACAATGTAGTCACCCATGCAATCTTTAAGATCAAT